TAACATACATTTGTGCCTGGGTTTGCTGGCCAGGAAGACAAATAATTCAGAAAAAGACACAATATTCATTGTGTTCTGTGTATATGTAATCTTACTAAAAATGCTTCTCTTCATTTAGGTATTTTTAAATGACTATTTTGAAATGTAAATTAAAGGTGCCTGTAGACAGGAAAGTGAAATAGGAAGGAAGCAATAAACATGACAATGTATTCTGGGCACAGAAGGTTAAGGAAAGATAATTTTTGGATAAGGAAAGGCACTGTATATGAAATTCAGTCCTACAACAAGATGACTGCATTACTCTAGACTGGAGAGAAAAGGGTAGGAGAGATAACTTGGTAATCTAAGAATGCTGCATAAGGTGGGCAGGAGTTGGATGTCGTGTGGGCTGAGGTTGGCTGAGGTTAGAAGAGAGTGAAAAGCCCTAGGCCTGGGTTCTGAGCTCCCCGGGTAGAGAACGCGGCTTCCATCCCCCCACAGCCACCGACCCTAGTAAGCCCTCCATCTCTCTCCTCCTCGCCCTAACTCTTGGGCCTCCTCTTTTGAATAAGATAGTTCAGCTTACATCCTCCAGCATATGGCAAATCCATGTCCAAACAGCAATGCCACAAAGATTCCGGCCCCTTAAACATCAGATTCCTCCAGACGAAGCCCCCAGCAGTCCCCTGGATAACACAGCAATTTATATGGAGCAGATCACCCCCTCTTCCCCGAGTCTCCACCACCTGCTGGCGTCCTACCGCCAGGACCCCAGGACACCTCCACCATGTTAGGCAAAGCAAATCAACATCTCTGCCCAGCAGTTAGAGAAGATGAGACCCAGCCTAAATGACCAAGGTTTGTCACTGTTGAGCTCTCAGTGGGAGGGGGGAGTGGAGGCCACCTGGGCCCCAGGCAACAAGGAGGCCCCCAGTGAAAGTCCCCAGCAGTAAGCATGAACTGGGATGAGAAGCCCCTTGCCCACGGCAATCCCCCAGCAGTCGGCTTCCAGCTGGCCTGCTGGCCTGCTGCTCCCGGCTGTGTGTTTGCTACATCTAACTCTGCTCACTGCTCTCCGACTGCTGGTGAATTCCTTCATGGCCTGCAATGCTGGCCTCCGTCAGTCTCGTCCCGAGACAGTAAAAGGCGGGAATGACAGTCACCATGTAAGCAACTCAATCCACATGAACCAGTTTACAAGTGGAGAGCAACACAGCGACACACGAATTCTGAACTCTACTAAAACATTCTTTTTGAATACACAGCACCGGTGCTATAAATTTGCAAGCGAATAAGTCACAAATATCTGTGTGGAAGGCAATTAGAGGAAATCCAGAAGGCGTCAGTAACAGTCCTTGATTTGAGATCTTAGACAAGGCAAGCTGGCCTCTTAAACTGACTGTTATTACCAGCAGCAGACTTACAGCCTCCATCTAAATAAAGTCCTCATATAACTCTGCTTGCAAATATTATTTGAGATAACAAAAGCTTCACCCTTAGAAAAAGGATAAATATTTAGTGATTCTGAAATTGGATTTACCAAGCGTGATTATTTTTGCTCCAAATCTAGTCAAGCTGGAATGTTGTATCCCATTTGCTAAAGCACCCATTCCTGTTTGCCTACAGACTCAGGCTATAAACTTGTCATCTCTTTTTTTGACTGTGAGTTTGTAATTCTATGATGCTTTTCAAAATGCAATTAAAATAAATGAAGTCATTTTCGCATCCAAAGCAGGCGCTGGAACCCAGCTGACCACACTGTGTTGGGACTCATTAAGGAGAAGTTATACACAAAAATGGTTGTGTTGGACAGGGGAGCAAGTGTCTTCAAAACACACGCTCTGACTTGGTTCTAGGCCACTGCATGTTCGAAGCCCCTCCGTTGCAGCCCTGGGGATCTTGTATAACCGTTGCTGCTATAAATTTATAAGCTTGGTTTATAGTTCTTCTGGGAAACTCTGAATGTTTTGATTATAAATTTAGACTGTTAAACCCCAAGAGAACCCAATAAATCCTAGACAAACAAGATCAATTCACAGTTGCCTTTTATATGCGATTCTCAATCTGGGACAGTAATTTAAGACATGTGCTGCTTAGGTTTGGAAGGAAGAAAAGCCACGATCCTAAACACAGCCACTTGTATGTCTGAAGGTTTTAAACTCCGCAATTTATATTTTCACTGCTTCAGCTTGTCATGCATTGTTGATCAATTAAAACAAAAACTAATCCCAAAGCCCTCCAAATCACAGGACATTGTTCTGAGTTATTTGTTAGTCGGCTACTAACAATAAAATTAATGAATTCTTATTAACTTAAATCCTTTTTTTATTATGTCTTTATGCTCCAGGTCAATTTTAAAAGCGCACACAACTACCCTCTAGAGGGAGGAAATACTTGTTTTAGTGTCTAACAAGAGGAAAATGAAATCCAGGCTGACTTAAAAATTGGGGCAAGAAGGGGCTGTCATGTGGCACAGCCAGTTAAGCCACTGGCTGCAATGCTGACATCCCAAATGGGCACCAGTTCAAGGCCCAGCTGTCCACTTCTGATCCAGCTCCCTGCTAATGACCTGGGAAATGTAGCAGAAAACAGTCAAAGGGCTTGGACCCCTGCTCCCATGTGGAAGACCCGGGTGAAGCTCCTGGCTCCTAACTTTAGCTTGGCACAGCTCTGGCCATTGTGGCCATCTGGGGTGTGAACCAGCAGAAGGAAAATTTCTTTCTCTCTTTCTCTTTCTCTTTCTCTTTCTCTCTCTCTCTCTCTCTCTCTCTCCCTCCCTCCCTCCCTCCCTCCCTCCTCCCCCTGGTCTCTTATCACTCTGCCATTCAAAGAAATAAAATAAATTTAATTGTCTGGTACTTCATACTATAGATATCTGTCTACTAGACAGAAATAGCTCAAGTTTATTTGACTAGAGTATCATCAGAAAAAAATAATTCAATAAAGAAATATTTATAAGCTCCAATTGTGTGGAGAAATGTGGATTCTGTAAAGATGTTAAGAGGTCATGCATGCTATTACTGACTTCAGAGAACATAAAATTTAATTTGAAAGTCAATAAGACTAAAATTCAAAAAGATAATCACATAAAAATTATATTGATGTATGGCATAAGCTGGTGGTCGGATGGTAGCATCACAGGGTCAAAGGCATCCAGGGAAAGTTCTGGGCTGTCTCCCTGGGAGCAGAGCCAATCCCTTATCACTTTTTTCCCCTTTTTCACTTTTTTTTGGCCTCCCAAAAACTTGCCTGACACATAGTTGACATGCAATGTAAGTTTTTAGAAAATAACAACAAAGGCACTAGTCCTCTATACAGAAGGAAATGTTATCAAGAAAGACGTATAGTAACAACAACAAAGGTAAAACAACCACACTTAAAAGGAAATGTAGGGGGCTGGTGTTTTGGCATAGCAGGTAAAGCTGCAGTCTGCAGTGCTGGCATCCCATATGGGCACCAGTCTAGTCCTGGCTGCTCCACTTCCGATTGAGCTCTCTGCTGTGGCCTGGGAAAGCAGTAGAAGATGGCCCAAGTGCTTGGGCCCCTGCACACACGTGGGAGAGCCAGATGAAGCTTCCGGCTCCCGGCTTTGGATCAGCTCAGCTCCAGCCGTTGCGGCCATTTGGGGAGTGAAGCAGTGGAGGCAAGATAGATCTCTCTCTCTCTCTCTGTCCCCCCTCCCCTTTGTAACTCTGCCTTTCAGATAAATGAAACAAATCTTTTTTTTTTTAAGAAGGGAATATAAAAGATCAAAGACAAAACCTTAAGTACACTCTCTTTTAAATTTTTTGTTTATTTTTATTTAAAAGGCAGAGAGAGAGGGAAAGCCGGATCTCCCATGCACTGATTCACTCCCTGAATGCCCACAATGGCAGGGCCAGGTCAAGCTGAAGCCAGGTGCTGGGCTCTGCCCTGAGTCTCACACATTAGTGATCCAAGTAGTCGAGCCCTCACCCCTGCCTCCAGGTGCGTATGTGCAGCTGCAGCCATCTGGGAAACGGACCGGCAAACTGAAGATCCCTCTCTGTTTTTGTCTCTGTCTCTCTCCCTTTCCCTCTCCCTCTCCCCACAACAAACTCTGCCTTTCAGATAAATAAATTCTTTTTAAAAAAGAACAAACCATCATCAAAAGCAAAAACAATAATAAGTAGGAATCCTCACAACAGTAAGAGAGAAAGAGGAGTCACTGTATCCTTACATAGACAGAAGCAGAACTAAGAAACACAACAGGCTTTTCAGCAAAAACCACGCCACTGGGCCAGGGTTGTGGGGCGGCAGGTTAAGCGGCTGCCTGGAACACAGGCATCCCCTGTGAGCGCCAGCTGCTCCATTCTGTCCCCTGCTAATGTGTTTGGGAACGCAACTAAGGATGAAGCAAGTGCTTGGACCCCTGCCATGCTGGTGGGAGACCAGGACGGAGCTCCAGGCTCCCGGTCATTGCAACCATCTGGGGAGTGAACCAGCAGGTGGAAAATCAATCTCTCTGTCGCATTGTGTCGCATTGTGGCGTACCCGGTAGAGCCGCCACCTGTCTCTCTCTCGCTCGCTTCCAAGTACGTGAAAATAAACGCACTGGTAAAAAAATTAAAACCAGCTTATTTATTACATGGCCGGTGCCGCGGCTCACTAGGCTAATCCTCCGCCTTGCGCTGCGGCACACCAGGTTCTAGTCCCGGTCGGGGCGCCGGATTCTGTCCCGGTTGCCCCTCTTCCAGGCCAGCTCTCTGCTGTGGCCCGGGAGTGCAGTGGAGGATGGCCCAGGTGCTTGGGCCCTGCACCCCATGGGAGACCAGGAGAAGTACCTGACTCCTGCCATTGGATCAGCGCAGCGCACTGGCCGCGGCGGCCATTGGAGGGTGAACCAACGGCAAAGGAAGACCTTTCTCTCTGTCTCTCTCTCTCACTGTCCACTCTGCCTGTCAAAAAAAAAAAAAAAAAAAAAAAACAACTAAAAAAAACCAGCTTATTTATTACAAAAGAAAGCGACAGCAGAGAGTAGCATTAAGCGCAGACCCTCTTACCCAAGACTTCGTCTGCCCCCCGGAGACCCTGGGCACACTGCACAGCCTCTCCCTCGGCGTCACCGGGTGGATAATGACGTCACCCCAAGTCTGGTCCTGGCCACTGGTAACAAGGAGGACAGAGTGTGAGGACAAGGGCAGGCTGAAGTCTACTCTGTGCACAGACTGCAGGGGTGGTGGGCGGACACCTAAGGAGCCATGGTGGTCCCCGGGCGAGAGCAGGGCGCAGGGCTGTTGGGGGCCAGGAGCAGAGGCCGTGCTCACGCGGACGCAGCCAAACACCGGCACTGGCGGCAGTCCGCACGGCTCCATCGGCCGGGCACCTTCTTGAGAAAAACGCCGCGGGGAACCCTGGCCGGCGCATCCCAGCGCATTCGGAGTGCCGGCTGGCCAGGCGGGCGCTGCAGCGTCTGGGGGACCCGCGCCCGGGACAGCGGGCTAAGCCTCCGCCTGCAGCGCCGGCAGCCCATACGGGCGCTGGTTCGAGACCCGGCTGCTCCTCTTCCCATCCAGCTCTCTGCTGTGGCCTGGGAAAGCAGTGGAGGATGCCCAGGTCCTTGGGCCCTGCACCTGCGTGGGAGACCCGGAGGAAGCTCCTGGCTTTGGTCTGACCCAGCTCAGGCTGTTGCGGCCATTTTGAGAGTGACCCAGCGGATGAAGACCTCTCTCTCGCTCTCTTTCAAATAAATAAATTAATTACAAGCGGTATTTTGCTGGTATCTGAATGGGGCACACAAGGCGCCGAGAGATTCCAGGGTTTCGTGAGCCGTCCTGAGGTCCACGTCCCCTGATGTCTGGGACTAGGGAGCTTTACGGCGTCCTCACTGCACCCCTTAGTTACACCCCGATGAGCTACCGCACCCCGCCCGTCTCGCTGTTACGAGGTGACCGCCGCAGGGTTATGGGGCGCTCACCCTCAGGCCTCGGGCTTCTTCGCCAAGAACAACCCTGGCGCCCACTGTGGCAATACCTTATGATAAAAAAAATTCAAAATCACTCACAAGAGCAACACTTCCACGCCTTCGGGGCAGGATGCCCGCCTCTAGTCCCAGTGATGCGGGAAACCTTAAATAATTTTAAGCCCATGAGCGGGAAGCTATATCTCGTTGGCTCTGGGCTGCCATGTTCAACTACCTGTCAATCAGGGGGACACCGCCGCCGGAAGTACCGCCTCTTACCGGACGTGGGGGTGGAGCCACGCAAACACTTCCGGTTTTCTAAAGCGCTTAAAAAGCGAGGAGGAGCGGAAGTTCCCGTTCTTTTCCTTGTCTGATAGATCGCGTTCTTTGGCCCACTTTCCTGAAGTAAAGCCCTAATGGGCCTGGGTATTTTTCTCTTTATAAGTAAAGCTGATCACCCTGCATGCCGTGTTTGGGCCTGTATTCAGAATTCTCTAAGTCAAAGAGTCTGGAAAATTAATTTAGACCCGACCTAGCCCCGGAAGCCGGCCCTAAGGAGAGTGCCGTCAGGAAGTCGCCCTCCTGGTTCAAATTCAGGCGACCAGGGGTCCCCCAGGCAGGGCCCCAGAAGAGGACGCTCCCGGCAGGTGAGTGCGCCTGGGGCCAAAGGCCTGAGCCAGGGCCGGGGGACGGGGACAGGGACGGGAGCGCGCGCGGGTGTGCTGGGGTCAGGCCAGGGTCAGGCCAGGGTCAGGCCTCGGGCTGGCCGGGAGCGACGTCAGCGAAAGGCACAGGGCGAATGGAGCGCGTCCGCGGCAGCCTGACCCCACGCGGGTGAGGTCCCCGATGGTCCGCTCCCGACCGCCAGCCGGGGACGGACTGTCCTCCGGGTGCCCGGGAGCCACCTGTCCGCTCCCTGGACCTGAGATCCCGCAGCCGCGGAGGGTGCTGTCAGGGACGTGGAACCTCCTGGTTCCTTCGTCCCGGCATCCGCGCCCTCGCGCCTCCCTCTGGGAGCTGTGTCTGCCTGGTTCTGGTCCCCAGTGCGAGGGCTGGGCCCCACCTCCACTCCTGCCTCAGTGGACAGGATCCGCGTGCCTAGCCAGTCTGTTGTTCCAGCCTCAGGACACTTTGATGGGCTCGAGGACCAGGGTGTGCCCACCCAGGTGCTCCGTGCGCTGCAATGCAGGGGAGGGACTTCTTGGGAAGGAAGGGGTTTATCTCAGCTCACAGTTTAGAGGCGGTAACCTCTGTAGTGCAGGGTCAGGCACCACACACACACACACACACATACACGAGTACGCACACACATGTACACACATGCACGCACACACACATACATACACACATACATGCACACGCACACACATACACACGTACATACACACATATACATACATACACACATACGTACACACATACATACACCACATGTGCACTCTGGTGTCTAAGAAAAGTGTTGAGAATGTGTAGGAAAAACAGACTTTTTTCTTTGGGAAAAAGCTTTATAAAATAGTGTCAATTATTTATGTACCAGCAGTACATTTTGCTAATTTTTTTAAAGATTTATTTATTTATTTGAAAGAGTTATATATAGAGAGAGGTCGTCCATCCGCTGGTTCATTCTCCAAATGGCTGCAATGGCCAGAGTTGGTCCGATCTGAAGCCAGCAGCTTCTTCCACGTCTCTCACGCAGGTGCAGGGCCCAAGGACTTGAGCCATCTTCTACTGCTTTCCCAGGCCATAGCAGAGAGCTGGATTGGAAGTGGAGCAGCCGGGACTCGAACCAGTGCCCATATGGGATGCTGGTGCCACAGGTGGAGGTTTAGCCTATTATACCACAGCGCCAGCAGCCCCAAACATTTTGCTTTTTTGTTCATAGATTACACTCATTTCGAAGTGACTTTTGCCCACATCCTAAATAATTTAATTTAATTTGAAGAGATTGTGATTTACTCTTTGGGCTATAAGATCAAATGCACATCACCGTGTATCCAGCGTTACAGTCTACAGAACGCTTCGCCCCACCCCATGGACTCATTGATTTACTGATCAGCTCTGTAGTCCTGCCTTCTCTGGAATGTCACGAGAGGGTCCAGGCCGTGTGGAATCCCTTCAGACAGGCTTCCGAATCAATGGGTGATTCAGCCAGCGCTTTGCACTTTGGAATGTGCACTCATTTCTGTTGTGGAATATATATTCCATTGCGTGATGTATATCCCATTGCCTAGACATATATTCCTTACATGATATATATCCCATTGCCTAAATATGTATTCCTTACATGATGTATATCCCATTGCCTGAATATGTATTCCATTGCATGGATGTACCTCCACTTGGTTATGCATTGGGCCATTGAAGGACATCCTGGGAAGGTTTTGGTCATTATGAATAGAACTGCTGCACATAACGGCATGCTTGTCTGGACGTCATTTTTCAAATCAGCTGTCTAAATACAGACAGTTTAGTGGTGTGGTTGTGAGAGCACCAGGTGGAACTTGTTTAGCTTTGGCACCCACCACCAAACTGTTCTGCCAACTGGCTCTCGTGCCATGCACACCACCAGCCAAGAACGCTTCCTGCTTCTGATCCTCAGCTGTCGGCCTTGCCGTTGTTTAGGGTTGAACAGTTATGATAAGCGTGCTGTGCTATCTCGTTATTACCGTCGTTTGCAATTCCCAGTTGACATCTGGTGGTGAGCAGGTATTTGTATGAAAATTTGCTGTCTTTGTATTTCCTGTGGTCAGGTAGCCATTCTGGTATTTACACATTTTTAACTGAATTGCTAGTCTTCTTACTGTAGATCCTTGACAAGTCTTTGTATATTTTGAACCAAAATTCCTGATCAGGTATGTATTTTGTAAATTTTTTTTCACACAGTCTGTGGCTTGTCTTTCTGTTCTCTGAAGAGGATTTTTCACAGAGCAGAATATGTAATTTTATAAAGTTCACATGCACTTTTTTTTCTTCAGTGAATTGGCTTCTGATGTTGTGTGTTACAGCTTATTACTAAGTTCAAGGTCACATTTCTTATTCTTCCAGAATTTTTATAATTCTGCATTTCAGATTTTCTAGGCTCCTGTTGGTTTAGCTGCATCGTGAGTCAGTGTCTGGGTTTGATGCCTGGTCCCAGTTGATTCCACCTTCCTGTGTGCTTCCTGGGAAGCAGCAGGCGATGGCTCAGAGTTGGGTCACTGCTCCCTTGTGGCAGGCCTGGGTGGAGTTCCTGGCTCCCATCTTCTCCCCCTCCCCAGCCACTGCCATCATTTGGGGAGTTAACTCTTTCTCCCCATCTCTCTGCCTCTCAAGTAAATAAATATTTCACAGAAATAAAAAATGCATCCACACAGTGGCCATCAATGGCCTCAGATTCTCCCAAGGGCAAGTGTTCTCGCGATCTTGGCTGTACTGGGTTTTGAAGTAAATGTAATGTCTGCTTTTCTGAAATGGTATTCACATGGTTGTTTTAAAACGTAATTTACTTCCAAAGAATTTCAAGCTTACAGGAAGCTTAGAGTGGTAACACAAAGTACCCCAACCCTTCCCTGAGATTCCCCAACAGTTACTACTTTACCGTATTAACACCTGCACAGGAAACACTCCATTGTATTTTACCCCAAACCCAGGTAAGCATCACTTCACCCCCAACCAGGACATCTACACAATAATCCAGGGGCTGCTGGTTTCATGTTGCTGTTATGGCGTGGATTATTACATCTCTACAAGAGGTGTGTATCTGTCATTTTTTTTTCATTGTGATATTATGCCCTTGATTTGGCAGTGGATTGGGGGTTGGTTTGGGATGGGGCTAATTTTAGGATATTGGGAACATAACGGTTAGAGGTTAGAGTGATAAATTTAGGGCTTAGGAATTAGGATTTACAGAATAGGAGTTGGGGGTTTGGGTTGTAGATTAGGAGCTAAGAGTGAAGAATTGTGGTTAGGTGGCTAGAGTTGGATAGAGTTAGGGTTAGAGCTGGGGTAAGGGTAGAGGTTACAGGTTTGGAGAGGATCACAGTTAGGGTTGTACAGGTTCATTATAGGCAGTATACACGGCCCCCTTGAAACATGAATCAGGAGATAATTCTTTTTTTGTTTGTTTTAAAGATTTATTTATTTATTTGAAAGTCACAGTTACACAGAGAAGGAGAGGCAGAGAGAGAGAGGTCTTCCATCTATTGGTTCACTCCCCAAATGGCCACAACAGCTAGTACTGGGCCAATACAAAGCCAGGAGTCAGGAGCTTCTTCCAGATCTCCCACGTGGGTGCAGGCGCCTAAGAACTTGGGCCATCTTCTACTGCTTTCCCAGGCCACAGCAGAGAGCTGGATCAGAAGTGGAGCAGCCAGGACTCGAACCTGTGCCCAAATGGGATGCTGGCACTGCAGGCAGTGGCTTTATCCGCTGCGCCACAGTGCCAGCCCCAAGAATGCTTTAAAGATGCCTTCTACTCTGTGTCTTCCTAGTTACCAGAACTTGTGGAGCTGTGGCTTCTGCAGGAGACTAGGTCTCCTTGGCCCTGTGCAATCATTTCTTACCACTGTTTACAGGGACTCAGGACAGTGTCGAAGCCTCTTAAAGGCGTAAATCAGCACGCTTCTCTTTTTTTTTTTTTAATTTAAAAAAAATTTTTTTTGACAGGCAGAGTGGACAGCGAGAGACAGAGACAGAGAGAAAGGTCTTCCTTTGCCGTTGGTTCACCCTCCAATGGCCGCCGCGGCCAGCGTGCTGTGGCCGGTGCACCACGCTGATCTGATGGCAGGAGCCAGGTGCTTCTCCTGGTCTCCCATGGGGTGCAAGGCCCAAGCACCTGGGCCATCCTCCACTGCACTCTCTGGCCACAGCAGAGAGCTGGCCTGGAAGAGGAACAACCGGGACAGAATCCGGCGCCCCGACCGGGACTAGAACCCGGTGTGCCGGCGCCGCAAGGCGGAGGATTAGCCTAGTGAGCCGTGGCACCAGCCCAAGCATGCTTCTCACAGGCTGTGCTGCGCCCCGTGCTTCCTTGGTGAAGTGAGGGCTCTGCCACCCGCGGGCTCTGTGATGAGCTTCTCCGAGGCCCTTCCACACGCTCCCAGGAGTCCACACCTCACACCACTGACAGCATTTGAGGCCTCTTGAAAGCATGACAGCACACGGTTCTTAAAATATGCCCGTGCACAGATTTCCTAGCAAACCGCGCACTTTGTCAGCCGCCAGTTCTGTGACGAGGTCTCTTCCAGGGTGCTGTCCAGGAATGCACGTG